GAGGACCATTTTATTCTGTCTTTCTCTGGAGCAAATGCCAAGATTGTTGTGGTCTAGAAACTTGCTGTTCCATTGTAACAGGATATGCATTTAAATTAGAGCTCTGTAAAATGAAGGATACTTATGTTTAGCATCATTTTCAGTAATCTAGTGGAAAACCTGCAAACTCTGCCTGAATGACTGGGCCCGAAAGGGCTTAGTGGCTGGATGAAGGCTGAAAAAGAACACCATGTATTTAATACAGATATTTTGTTTCTGATACACCACTAGCAGTAAAACATAGCAAATAAATACTATTAATTTTCTTTCCATTCTAACATATTTTTTCCACGTTTTCAGAAGGATGTTGTTTCCAAAGTCTGGATTTAAAGCTTAACATTTCTTGGACAACCCCTGTCTCAGTGTTGGTTTGTTGTTGTTGCTGTTATTGTTGTTAATTGTTTTTGTTGGTTTGTTTGTTGTTGCTATTTGTTAATATTTTATCATATATGTGAAAAGGTGGATTTTCAGTTACAGTTTATCTCTTGAAACACTGCTTGGTTTATCTTTGGATTCAGAATCTGTCTCTGAATTTGTCAAGAGACTTTTTCTACATTTTTATTCTTCACTAAAATGCTTTTATAAAATAAGAGGAAATAAAGTAAATCTTTGTAATGTAACAGAGACTGAAGGTGCCGAAAGCTGCAGTGGTGAAAAAACAGCAAGTGGAAACAAAACGCACTCAAGAGGAAAGGTGCAAAGAAAAAGGGTAAGATATGGGGAATTCGGTTTCCCAGGATGTAGAAAGGGATACAGAAGCAGTGTGTCTCTTGCTTAGACAATATCCTATCAAGATCACACTCGTAGAAATAACAAATCTCTTGCAATTGGTAAAAATCATTGCAACAGGACTGCTGCTCGTAGAAGCTTTAAATACAACCACCTGGCAAAGAATTTTCAGAACCATGAGAGGCAGAGCTAGGTTAGGCGATACAGAAGCCTCTAGATGCCTTCTTGCCTGGATGCAAGTCATGGACGCTTTGCAGATCGCTCAAAGAAGGCAGAACCCCCTCAGAGACACTAACACACATTTTCCTGCACCCCCCAGCCATGCTGCTAGGTGCAGCCATTCCCCAGAGACTGGGAACAGACATGGGGGGGGGCAGTGTGCAACCCAGGAGAATCTAATGATGGACTCGAGTTGGGATTTGCATGGGCAGGAACGGAGGGAGTATGATGTAAGTTATGGTGAAGGTCCCGGTTTTAGCGCATGTGCAAACTGCTGAGAAAGGACAAGAATTATAATTCACAAATCCAGTATACGGGGTGAATTGTAGGTTCCGGCCGTGGCATCGCGAAGGGGCACCCAGCAAACTCACCCCCTCATGTTGCTGATGACTCATGGCTGCGTGCTGAAAGGAATGTGACCTGGGCACAGCCATCTTGTGCATGAAAAGGACTGGAACTTGAGCCATCTCTTCCAGCCCCACAGCCATCTTTTCCTGGCTGTGTGCATGGGGGGAGAGGTGCTTCCCCGCCATGGCAGCCATCTTCTGCCATGCTGCTGCCAGGAGCCAAGTATATCAGAGCTGTGGATAATGCGGCATCAGAAGAGGCTGTGGAGGAACCGGAGGTGGTTCCTCCAGGTGAAGGCAAGAGAGCAGGTGTGAGGGTGTTGGTTAACCAGTGGGAAAGATGCTGTGAGGAGGCAATGTGGACGGGAGACTGGCAGGTTATTAAAGAATGCCCAGTTATATACCGACTGCGCCAAAACCCTCAGTTCCAAAGCTTGCCCTATGAGGTGACAAAGGAACTGAGGGAACTTGTTAAAGAAAGTGACTTTTCCTTGTCTCACATGTTTTCATATCTGGAGACATTGAGTACCACTTACCTATTTACTCCACGTGATTGGAAGTTGAAAATGGTTTTAACTACCACTCAGTACAGTGTCTGGTTAACAGACTATTGGGAGAATTGTGCAGCGTATGCAAATGACCCAGGCAGTTCACAAACAGGCATGACTTGCAATCATTTGATAGGAGAGGGAGATTACATGGCAGTAGATTCACAGGCAGGCTACCCTCAGGAGATATATGAGGTGACAGTACAACTGGCTTTGAGGGCAATAAGAAAGCTCCCTAGCATGGACAGGGACAGCAATCTGTCCTCCACAAAGGTTCTGCAGGGATCAACTGAATCCTACTCCCAGTTCCTTGATCGGCTGCAGGTGGCTTTAAACAGGCAAATAGAACATGAAGATGCTAGAGAGATGCTTTTTAGGCAGCTTGCTTATGAGAATTTGAACCCAGATTGCAAGTGAGCTCTGCAGGCTATCCCTAAAAGGGAAACCTGCACAATAGTCGAGATGGTCCAAGTATGTCAGGGTGTCAGATCGGTTGAACATCACACAGCCTCTCTAGCAACAGCTTTAAGCCCTCAGCTGAGGTTGCAGGATGGGGCAAAAGGGAGAAGCAGCTGCTACTGATGTGGCGCTGCTGATCATTTTTATAAGGACTGCCCCAAGAAACTGCCCTCGGTAATATGCCAAAAATGCCACCATGGGAAGCGGGGGTCTAAAAACCCTTCCCATAAGGGAAACGGGAGACAGGGCGTGAGGCCATATGCACCGGTTCAATGAATAAATACGGTCCAAGAAAACAGGTTAGTGATCTGCTCACTGCCACCTCAGACAGCACTGGGCTGGACCTGGCCTCCAGAGAGCCAGCAATTATAACATGTACTGCTGTAGTGTTGATACATACAGGGGTCTGGGGACCTTTAAGCCCAGGTGTCCATGCCCTTCTAATAGGATGATCGTCAACCACTGGGATGGGTTTGTTTGTCTTACCTGGAGGGATTGACTCTGACTCTCTCAGCGAGATACAAATAATGGCATGGACTCCAGTGCCTCCCTGTTACATACCTGAGGACAATAGCTTGCCCAGTTAATCCCCTTTTACAGCATGTCACTGACTGGGGAAGGGGAAAGGGGCTTGGAGGCTTTTGGGAGCAGAGGTGAGCCACAAATATTCTGGGCGAAAACCAGCCAATGATGATGTGTCAGATAGATGGATGCAGATTCAAAGGCTTGGTGGACACAGGAGCAGATGTTACAATTGTTAAGGACACTGAGTGACCAGCTGACTAGCCCACTGTTTATCCTGCTTTGACTATCCAGGGGGTTGGAGGCACGCAAAGGCCTAGACAGAGTGCGCAACTACACACAGTGCTGGGGCCAGAGGGGCAGGTTGCCAGGGTAGCTCCTTTTGTTGCTCCTATTCCATGTACTTTGTGGAGATGTGCTGGGCCAATTTGGCACTGTCATGCAATTGCAACTGGAGATGCTCAGAATTTTCAGTGAGGGCCATTAACCAGCCATTCCAAGGACAAATTAAGTTGACATGGAAAACTCATGAGCCTATATGGGTAAATCAGTGGCCCATGAAAAAGGAATGGCTTGCTCACTTAAGAGAATTAGTTCAAGAGCAACTCGATGCAGGATATATAGTGCCAACCTCCAGTCCGTGGAACACTCCGGTGTTCTGCATACCCAAGAAAAGTGGCAAGTGGAGGATGCTACATGACCTAAGAGCAGTTAACTCAGTGACAGAACCTCTAGGGACATTACAGCCAGGACTTCCCTCACCTGCTATGCTTCCAGCATGATGGCCATTAGTGGTAATTTATTTAAAAGACTGTTTCTTCACCATTTTTCTACACCCCAACAATGCGCCAAAATTTGCTTTCTCCATCCCCACTCTAAACCACGCACAGCCCATTCAGAAGTACCACTGGATTGTTTTGCCTCAGGGGATGAGAAACAGCCCGACTATTTGTCACACTGTTGTGGCAAAGGCTATCCACCCTATTAGAAGGCTTCATCCCTCAGCAATCATTTACCACTACATGGATGACATCTTGGTCGCCGTGGCCAAAGAAACTGAATTATAAACTGTTATAACTGCTCTGACTAATGCTGTCCAAGAAGCAGGGTTGCAGGTCACTCCAGAGAAGATCCAATGATCTTAGCCCTGGACCTACCTTCCATGGAGGATCACACAATAAGAGATCTCATCCCAGCCACTGACAATTAAGGTAAAGGACACTTTAACCTTGAATGAATTGCAGAAACTTTTAGAAGCCATCAACTGGTTAAGGCCTATCTTAGGCTTGACCACAGAGGAGCTGCACCCCCTCTTTGAACTGCTGAAAGGCAATCCAGACTTAACATCTAATCGGTCTCTGACCACAGAGGCACAGCAGGCGTTAAAAACATGTTCTCAGGCAATCAAGAGCAGACAATGCAGAAAGAGAAATCCTGAACTTCAAATCTGCCTTGCCCTTGATCCTAGCAGGTTCCAGCCATTTGCAGTTTTGTTTCAGTGGGACCGAACTGAATCAGATACACTCACGATCCTGGAGTGGCTGTTTCTTCCCCACTCACCACCTAAAACAACTAACAAAATGTTTGTCAAGTGTGACATTAAAGGTAGAGGACAGGAGCTGGATGGACAGGATCCTGCTACCATCTGCATCCCAGTGATGAAGGACAACCTCAACTGGCTGCTGGCTGAAGACACTGGATTCCAGGCTGCCTTGGCTGGCTATGATGATGACATTTCCATTCACTATCCTAAACACAGATATTGGGCAGAAATGGGAAACCTACCCTTAAAAGCCACAAGCAAATGCCAAGACCAGCCAGTAAAAGGCCTCATGGTCTTTACTGATACATCAGGACGGTCCAAAAAGGCTGCGTGACGTGCATAAGCCCTGCCACAGGATAGTGGAAACAGGAGGTACAGACCATAAACCATGGTTCTGGACAGGTCCTAGAACTCGCAGATATTCTCATTGCCTTTGAACTGTTTTCAGATCAACCCGTTAATATTGTTACTGATTCTTGTTATGCAGTAGGTTTAGTTTCACATCTCAAAGCTTCTTTCCTTCGAGATGTTGCAAATCCACATTTACTCGCTGAAATACGTACTGTATGGGTTCTTGTTATTCACAGAAGGTTTGATTTCTACATAATGCATGTTAGGTTACACACAGAAATGCTGGGGCCTGTAGCAGAAGGCAACCAAAGGGCTGATGCAGCAGCTATGTTCACAACAGTGCCTAGAACTCTCGAGCAGGCTAAATTGTCTCGTTCCTTTTTCCACCAGAACTCTTGTTCTCTGAAGAGACAATTTCAAATCACCCTCAATCAGGCACGAGACATAGTCATGTCATGTCATGTCCAGACTGTCAGCAAATTACACCAATGCCATCCCAGGAAGGAGTTAACCCCAGGGGACTCATATCTACTGAGGTGTGGCATATCACACACATAGCTGAGTTTGATAGGCTGAAATATGTTCACGTTACAGTCAACACACACTCCAAATACATAACTGTCACCACACACACTTGGGAAAAGGCAAGGGATGTCATAAGGCACCAACTTAACTGCTTTGCAACACTAGGGATCCCAAAAGGATCAAAACTGACAACGGTCTGGGATACATTTCAGCAAAAGTCAAAACTTTCCTATCAGACTGGGGAATCTCTCATTCCACAGGCATACTGCATTCACTCATGGGACAGGCCATGGTAGAGACAGAATACCATACCCTAAAAGTCATGCTCAAAAGACAAGGAAAGGGAGAGTCCATCTGTAGCCCACAGGAGTATCTGTTGAAAGCAATATATGTCATAATTTTTTTAAATTGTGACAGTGCAGAGAAAAGCAGGTATGAGAGATAACACAGACCTCAAGCATTTTCCTCTCACAAACCACTGGTCATGGTAAAAGACTTAATCTCAGGGCAATGGATGGAACTGGTGGATCTTGTGACATGGGGGAGGGGATATGCGTGCATATCTACAGGTAAAGAACTAAAATGGATTCCCTCCAGGTTGTCAGACCCTACATAGGTACACCCCCACAGCAGCAGTAAGAACCAGAGTAATAACTGAAGAAACTGCAGACAGAGACGTACAACTGATGTTTACCACTTGATATTTACTACTGAAAATTACCAGTGTGACAAAAATGCAGTCTTGCTAAAAGCCATAAGTGTGCATGTGAAGAATGAATGAGGTGGCTGTCAGTATGAATGCATTTGAGTGAACAAAAGAGAATTGTGTGAGTGTACAAGCACTTTAAACACTAAGCCTTAAAAAGGTAACATTACCTCAGCCACATGGTCACAGTAGAAAAATTCAGCTCATGACATTTACCCTGTTGTTGAAATAAAGTTGAATTTCCCCTGTTCTACATAAACCCTTAGACAAATAAAGGTTAATGTTCCTTGCTTCTCCTAGTTGCATGGGTACCACCCAATTTTATAAAAAAACCTCAGAAAATTAAAGTTGGTGCTTCTACCAATTACATGCAAACCTTAGAAAAGTCTACCCAGTTATGCCAAAACCTGTCGGGGGTGCCCTGATGGAGACTTAAAAGTGGTGGAGTGAAATTAGTGAAAAGAAATCAGAAGAAGAAGAAGAAATAATATCAGAATATACTTGTGTCGTGGTGCGCTGAATGTGCCTGTCAGGACTGCGAGAGTGTTAGTTTCACAGTGCCTTTACTCTGTTGTGCAATTTTTTAACTATTAGTATAATATATTTTATTATAAAAATGTGTTATTCCTGGTACTGTACCTCTGTTACCCTTTTTCCTGTTGATTCAATGTAAGCCCTCTCCTAATTCATCCTACCTGCTTCACCTGTTCTCCCCAGAGACAGTTTCCCATTTGTCCAGGTTCAGACAGTTCCAGCCCTTGTTACTGTGATTTACCACTCTTGGAATACTCCACCCTTTATTCCAGAAAAGTCCCTGCTCTCCCTATAAAAGCTGGCCTCCATGTTTAATAAATGTTCATTCTGTGTCACACTGTGACTCCATGCAGAGTGATCCTTTCTGGGTCTTGCATAAGGGGGGTTACAGCTCTTCCCCCTGTCAAAAACCCTCAGATCAATAAAGTTGTTTATCCCAGTTACACTATACTCCTTAGGAAAATAAAGTTTCAAGTATTAAGCAGGTTCAAAAGGTTGAAGAGAAAAATTCTAATAAATAAGTTTGTTGAAGAACCAAAATAAACAGTGAGCTGGGTCACTGTGATACTGTGGTAATTGTTAAAGGTTTTACAAGGTTTAAAATGTACTGTTTTATTATTTGCACGTTGTATGATTAATCTTAATAATAAAGTCAGGGGAGATGTGGGGAACGCGTTTCAGAGATTCTGGGTGATGCATCCTGGGAGAAGTAATTCCCAAAATACATTCTAACACACATGGGCAGTGGTAAGTCCCATGGTGGTTGGCTAGGTGAATCATGTGTTGTCCGAAGGCATATAAAAGGTGATGTTCGCTTCTAATAAACAGATTTGATTGTTGGAAATCCAAGCAACTGGGTCGTGTGGTTTATTTATTATATTAATAAAGCCACAAAATCCTTCACATCCTTCCAAGTTTATTTTTAAGATACATATTAGGAAGAGAAAGTGAAAATTAGGAAAAACAGTTTATCCTTCTTTTTTCCTCTTGCATTTGTTTGTATGTATGATCTCCTTGTGGGATAATCTTGTGGTAAATTAATTTAAGCCAATTCATTATTTATTACATCCAGAAAGTGAGATAGTTAATTACTATATTGGCTATGTGATGTTCTCAGATCTGTATTCTTTTTGCAAAAGGTAAAGAAGGTAAAGATGGATGCAGAATCTGTTTTTCATTTTTCTTACCAGAAAATTTTGCTCATGTGCAAAGAGTAAGTTGAAAAGAAAGTTCTTCACAAAACAATAGTCTGCATTCTCTCATTTCTGCTTTTAAAATCTCCTAAGTCCTTTTCTGACTGCTGAAGTGTGTAGTATTTGGAAACTTTGATTGCTTCTTGGTCCCTACTAACTCAGAACTTAGTTGCACAGGTAACCAGTTGAAAATATGTGCCTGTTTAAACATATACAGATGCTGTTATTTAACTTTGCTTTTAGGTAATTTTATATGACTGAGGGCTTTCATTTTTGCCCAGCTCTTCCAAGTCATCAAAAAAAAAAAAAAAGGGGAAAGATAGTGCTTAAGACTAGTTAAGCTTGCAAATCGAAGACATTTAAACTATAATTTGAAGTATTCTACATGACCTTGCTTGTACATGCTTCTATGACCTTGTAGCAATCCACTTAGTAAACAACCTATCTTGGCTTGAAATATCTATTTAACGTAAAATACAGCATAGAGAATTGGTAAAGAATGGTAAAGCATACACAGTGAAGTTTCTTGTTCCAGTTTTGTTTTAAAACTCAAGAAGAATTAAACCAGAAGTACCAGCAGAGTTACTTTCATGGCCTTCAAGATCTTGATCGCCCTTGGCACCTCTTTTTCTCAGGTGTGGTAGGAGTCTCTTCTGTGCTGGGAGTTATGTCAAAGAAAAAATGTTCTGAGTAGTGGATTTGAAGCAGTAGCACATACTATTGCAAGAACAGAAAATTGCATGAGCTTCATCATCTTCAGACCTAAATGTCTTCAGGTTTGCTCTCCATTCTGTAAAATGTACAATGTGCTTCTATATAGCTCAGTATCTGATAAGACAAAGCTCACAGATCTGTTTTCTAAACTCTTTGGCAAGGAATAGTGAGAAAATTATTAATAAAAATGCATAATTCAGGGAAAAATATAATTTTGTGTTTTAAAAAATCTAAGATATAAAGGTTTTCTGCTTTTGTTTTAATGATCGGTTTACTTATCAGTGTTTCATCTTAAGTCTCTATAAATGCACATGCTCTTTTCCCACAACTACTTTTTAATGCAGTAACTGTAGGAGCATTAATGCTCACTTCACCTTATTGATTTTAGGTTATTAAAAAATCCATGATGATTTGTTTCCTTTCCTGTTGAGTTATGCAGGGGGTCAATCTGAAGCTAGAATTTTTTAAAAGCTGAAATATATCCAAGCATACACACTTCGG